TGGTGGATGTCATGAGTTGTTTGCTTCCTTAGTAACTAACTTTGTGGGTTGAATCTGTGAAATCTGAATTCTACCTTTTCTGGGCAGGAATATAACCTACAACGTTCACATTGGCCCCTAGTTTTTCCAGGCATATGTTGGACCTTTCCAAAACCCACTGAGGACTTCTGGCTCCTCTGTCCCCTGTATCCACATTATTCACATCTAACTTTGGAGACTCACAATTTTAGGCCATGAAAGCATAGCAGGAGAGCAAGAAAGAAGCATGAAAGTTATTATTTTGCTGGATTCCAACAACAACAGAAAGCCAACAAACTCACAGAAATGAAACAACTCACTACTCATTGAAAAATGGGTCAAGACAGAAACGAAAGACTTCCTAGAATTGGAAGAAAATAAACAACAAGACCAAACTTATGGGTCACAAAAGGCAGTTCTAAGGGTCAAGTTCATAGCACAAAACACCTACATAAAAAAACAGATCTGATATTAGTAATTTATGAGACTGACGTACTGCCTACTGTGCTAAGGAGGCGCCTGTCTGATATTAGTAATTTAACACCACACCTGAAACCTCTAGAACAAAAAGAAGAAACCAAAAGGAATAGATGAAAAGAAATGACCAAATTATGAAATCAATAAAATAGAAATGAAAAAAATCGATACAAAGAATCAATGAGACCAGTTGTTCTTTGAGAAAAATCAGTAAGACTACAAATTAACTAAAAGGCAGAGAGAGGATGTCCAATTTAATAAAATTAGAGATGAAAAGGGGGGACATAACAACAGATACAGAGGAAACCCAGAGGACATATTTAAAAATTTGTATTTTACTGTCTTATTTAGAGTTCCTACTGCAATGATGGACACTGTGACCAGAAGCACACGGGGGAGGAGAGGGTTTCTTTGACTTACAATTCCACATCCATAATCCGCCACAGAAGGAAGTCAGGACAGGAACAGAAACAGGAACTGAAAGTCAGGGGCTGATGCAGGGGCTGTGGAGGAGAGCTGCTTCCTGGATTGCTCAGCCCCCCCTCTTCCTTTCTCCCTCCCTCTCTTTCCTCCTTTCCTCTTTTCCTTCTTCCTCCCTTCCTTCTTTTTCAAGACAGGGTTTCTCTTTGTAACAGTCTTAGCTGTCGTGGAACTCGCTTTGTAGACCAGGATGGCCTAGAACTCACAGAGACCAGTCTGCCTCTGCCTCTGCCTCTGCCTCTGGAGTGGTGGGATTAAAGCCATGCTTTCTTATAGAACAAGGACCACCAGCCCAGGGAATGGAGTCACCCACAATGGGCTGGGCCCTCCTCCATCAATCACTAATTAAGAAATGCCTTGCAGTGGATCTTATCGAGGCATTTTTTTTCTCAGCTGAGATTCTCTCCTTTCAGATAATGCTAGCTCATGTCAAGTTGACATAAAACCAGCCAGCATAGGCACCAAATTTGAAAATATGAAAGAAATGAATAATTTTCTTGAATCACACCACTTACCAAAGTTAAATCAGGACTAGGTAAGCAATTCAAACAGATGTATAACCCTACTCAAATAGAAGCTGTCATTAAAAATCTCCCAACAAAAAGCACAGAGCCAGAATGGTTTCAGTGCAGAATTCTACAAGAGTTTGAAAGGAGAATTGATGTCCATACTCAAATTACGCCACAAAATACAAACAGAACATTGCACAATTTGTTTCACAAAGCCACAGATATCCTGGTACCCAACCCACATAAAGACTCAACAAAAAAATAATATTACAAATTTCCCTTTTGAACATAGATGCAAACATTTTCAACCAAAAAAATAGTTGCAAACTGAATCTAAGAACACATAAAAAAGACCACCTACCATAATCAAGTAGGCTTCATCTTAGAGATACAGGGATGGGTCAACATATATAAATTGATAAATGTAATCCGCCACATAAAACAAACTGAAAGACAACAACCACATGATCAAATTTTTAGATGCCAAAAAGGCCTTTGATGAAATCCAACACCCCTTCATGATAAAAGTCCTGGAGAGATTAGGGACACAAGGTACATATACCTCAGCGTAATAAAGCCAGGTTACGGCAAGCCCACAGGCAACATCAACCTAAACGGAGAGAAATTTAAAACAGTTCCTCTAAAACCAAGAAGACAAGGCTGTTCACTCTATCCACACCTGTTCAGTACTATGCTGGCTCATCTCCTGTCACCTAGACACGCGAGCTAGAGGGAGCCTCAGCTGAGAAAAGGCTGCCATGAGATCCGGCTGTAAGGCATTTTCTTCATTAGTGATTGATGGGGGCCGGCCCAGCCCATTGTGGGTGGGGCCATCCCTGGGCAGGTTCTGTAAGAAAGCAGGTTGAGCGAGCCATGGGGAAGCAAGTCAGCAAACAGTTCCCTTCCGTGACCTCTCTATCAGCTCCTGCTTCCGGGTTCCTGCGCTGCTGCTTGAGATCCTGTCCTGACTTCCTCTGACGAAGAGCTATGATATGGAAGTGTAAGCAGAATAAACCCTTTGCTCCCCAAGTTGCCTTGGCCACAGTCTTTCATCACAGAAACAGTAATGGTGCTAGCATAGTAGGGCATTGCTATGACAGACGTGACAATGTTTGGGGGAGGACAGCAGAAGGACTTTGGAACTTTGTGCAAAACAAACAAAAACATTGAGCATTTAGTGCCTCAGTGAGCCATTCTGTCGGAGCTTGGAAGGCAAGAATGTTGAGCACAATGCAGACAACGGAGGCCTTGGCTTGTGAAGTTTCGGAGGGAAGTTTAAAGATTTTGGGGCCGTTTGTTAATCTGAATTAGGATTCTGTTGTTTTCTAGTCTGCTGGGGCTGAAGAATCAGCTGTGATTAGCACGATGCCAGGACTACTAAAGGGAAACCGTTGCTTTACTGGGACCCTTGATGCCGGTCGGCTGGAGCTGAGAAATTAGTGGTGCTTAACGAGGCCAGCGTTGTTGGGGTGAAATCTTCTGGGAGGTGTTTCCTGGGAGTCCACACACACAGGCTGTGTTGTTTCAAAGGCATCCGACGTCTTGCTGGCTGGCAGCTGAACTTGGTAGTGCCGGAGCCAAAATCAGGTGGTACTGATTTTGAAGGCATGAAGGAGTCATGATGAGCAGCCCAGGCCTGGCGCTGTGGAGCAGGGGTGGAGCCTCCCGAATAGAGCACAAGAGAGGCCTTAGGTGAAGGTGTGGCCCGGTTGCAGCAGACGATCCCCGCAGACGTGGAGATGCCAGCACCACGGGATGGCCACCCAGAACAGCAGCAGCGGTGGAGCAGAGCCAGTGTGAGCTTACCAGACAAGCTGTGCGTGCAGAGGGCGGAGCCGGAGAAGCAGCCCACGCCCCTCGGGGGAGTCCAGGAGACGGTGAGTGGATCCCACACATTGGGCATTTACACTGTGTGGTGACATCTTGCTGGTACAAATAAAGTCTGTCTGAAGGTCAGAGAATGGAGCTGGCCACTAGCTAACCATAGAGGTCTAGAGGTCCTACAAGCAAGAGAGCGCCACCTACTGTTTGAGTACGGTTTATCTTTGTTCAGACTGACTGTGCCCGGGGTTCTCTCCTCCTGAAGAGAGACGATGTTCAATTTAAATTTGATTTTTTTTAGAGGATCCCACATTAGAAAAGCTTTTTAACTTTTGAAAGAGGTTTTGGATGTCTAGAGAGACTGGATATTTTAAAGGGACTGGCATTGTAATGTGTTTGGATTTGTAGAGAGCATTTAAAGTTACTTATGTTTTTAACGTGAGACCCTGAGGATGAATAAGAAAGGGAGATGTGTATTGATAGGGATGTGTCTTTGTGTCAAGCTGGGGAGGGGTCAGGTGTGCTGGCTAGTCTTACGTCTGCTTCACACAAGCTAGGGGTATCTAAAAGGGTGAATCTCAACTGAGAAAATGCTTCTGTGAGATCCAGCTGTAGGACGTATTCTTAATTAGTGACTGATGGAGGAGGGCCCAGCCCACTGTGGGTGGAGCCATCCCTGGCCTGGTGGCCCTGGATTTTATAAGAAAGCAGGCTGAGCTAGAGGGGCCTAAGGATACCACCAGAAAAACCACAGAATCAACTGACCGGGGCTCATAGGAGCTCAGAGAGACTAAACCAGAGAGTTTGCACGGGATTGACCTAGGCCCTCTACACGTATGTGAAGGTTGTGTAGTGTGATCTTCCTCGTGGGACTCTTAACAGTGGGATCAGGTGCTGTCTCTGCCTCTTTTGTTGCTCTGGGGACCTTTTCTTCCTACTGGGTCACCTTGTCCAGCCTTAGCAAGAGAGGAGGCGCCTAGTCTTACTGCAACTTGATGCGGCAGGCCTGTCCCTTTCTGAAGAGAATGGAGGGGGAGAGGAATGGATTGCAGGGAGGGAAGGCTGAGGAGAGGAGGACTAGGGGGAGAGGAGCAGGGAGAGGAGGAGGATGGGGAACTGTGACTGAGTGGGGAATTATTAATTAATAATAAAATAAATATTTTAAAAAGAGAAAAAGGCATTGCTACTTTTGCAGCACACCGCCAGTGCCTTTGTGCTCAGGGGTAGCCTGAGGTGGTTCTGACCAACGGGGGACTGGCAGAAGTCCCTGCACAAACCCTCTATTATATTCTAAAATTAAAAAAAATAAACATTGTTTGTGGACACACTCACAGCACATGCCGTTTATGATTTGCCTTTTCTTACCTGGAACGCAGGCCAAGGGTGTAAGTATGTTATGATCACGGGGCAACAAGCGTGGGGACGACGGCATGTGACCGTGGGCAGGAAGAGCAATTTGCAGTGTTCTACACACACACACACACACACACACCACACACACACATATTTCTCCTAAGATTTGTTGGACGAGGGGAGACGCTTCTATCTGACGAGGCCTTGTGTTTCTATATTCTGCTGTTCTGCATGCCAAGGGCGACCTCAGCTGATGGTTGGGGAGGCTGTCTTAGCTAGGGTCTCTGTTGCTGTGAGGAGATGCCATCACGGCGGCAACTCTTATCAAAGGAAAACACTTACGTGGGGCTGTCTTCCAGTTTCAGGGGTGTAGTCCTAGCGTCACGGTGGGACATGGTAGACATGCTGGAGAAGGAGCCGATAACTCTGCATCTTGGTCCACAGGCAGCAGCAGGAGAGTGAGCGCCACGCTAGACCTAAGTTGAGCATACAAGGGACCTCAAGGCCCATCCCCCAGTGACACACCTCCCTCCAGCAAGGCCACACCTCCTGATAGTGCCACTCCCTGTGGGCCAAGCTCTCAAACCCGTGAGTGTATGGTGGCCATAGCAATCGAAACCACCACAGAGGGCAAGTTATGGAAGTCCTCTGGGATCTGGGTTCGGCTGGGGTGGGCCAAGGGGGAGGGTTTTGGTGAGGGAGCGGTTGTGTAACTGATGGTGAGGTCAACACAGGCTAGGGGGAAGGAGGCCCAGTGAGAGACTAAGAAGCTTGGGTGCCGGGGTCATGGGATACAGTATACACAGGGGTTTAGATGCTGGGTGTGCTGCCTATTGATGGTTGGACACTGAGCGGGAGGAAGTTCAGCCGGAGCTCGGACTTAGCATCTGCTGTTTCATCTGCTGGCATTGTAAGCATGAGCCATCACACCTGGCCAAGGTGGGAACTTTGGATATGGCCTGTGGTGGACCTGACATAGCCCAGGAGGGGTGTTGGCTACTGAGGGGATCTTGGAAGGAGGTGTCTGCTCCACCTGGGCTTCCGGGAGTGTACTTCTTCAGGGATACCTGAGAGAGCCCTGTCAAGATCCAAGCTGTCTGCTCCTCCTGAGTACTGGGCCTCGGAGACTTCACTGGCAGCCCGGGGGTATCTCATGGCTTTGCTTACCTTCTCTTCTTCACATCTTAATGGAACATCTAGGTCTGGGGATGCAGTTTGGTTGGCAGGGGGATTAGCCAAGCCTGAGTGAAGCCCTAGGTTTGACCCCAGCAATATATAAGCTGGGTAGAGTGGTAATTATATATCTATAACCCTAGCATAGGATCAGGAGCTCAAGGTTATTTTTGGTGGACGTAGTGAGCTCAAGGCTAGCCTGGGCTGTGTGAGACCCTGTCACCCCCCAAAAAAAACCACATCTCTATAGCAGCTTCAAAGGATCCAGTGTAATCTCTCTCTGGACACATTAGCTGTGAAGCAATACAGTGCATAGCCATAAGGTCCAATCCAGAACTGTCTCATTGTAATTCTTAGCTGAAATGGGGCAAGAATTACAGTTGGACCTGCTACTAGTCAAAGCCTCTTGCAGGTAAAATCGTTGCCTATACCTTTTCTGGAATGCCCGACTCATTGCACTCCTGCTCTCTGGAAATATTGACAGCTTCTTGGTTGTACTGCTTCTGTGAGCACACATAACACATAATCCCTGGTAAAGCCATGAAAGGAATCATTTATATGATCTGGAAGACAGTGGTTCTGCCTGGTGAGTAGTGCCATTTCTTATTTCAACTATATTCCCATCACTCCACGAGAGGCCCACTGCATGGCTGCCCTGGGACCCCATGGAAGGATTACTATTCCTATAGCCACCTCCTGCCACCTTCTAGGATGGGCTGCTTCAGGTGTGGGCCTGGCCATTCCGTCCCCTCCAGAGAGGGTTCTGTTCCATCCCAGGGGACTACATGCATAAGCATGTCTGACCTTGATCAAGAAATATAGCACCTGTGTAACCCTGCCAGCCTCATCCAGAATATTGATATTTTGTCTAACTCAGTAATTTTGAATTCAATGTTTGTGTACCCCCCAAAATTCTGGGCTGGTGTTCTTACAATACCTAGGAAAAAAACTAGGAGGTAAGGCCTTTGGAGTATGACTAGGTCATGACCTGGTGGTGGGATTGGTGTCCTCTTGTAAGAATTAGGGGCTCGCTGGGTCAGGGGATAAAGGTCCTTGCTGCCTGCAAATTTAAGTTTCTTCTCTGGAAACCCCACTGTGGCATGTGTGTGAGCTCACATATAAACACCACGCACACGCACAATGAACATTTCAAAACACATACATTTATATCAAAGAAGGGAAGGAAGAAAGGGAGGACCTGAAGAGCTCTCTCCTATCCTTCTAGGGTGTATGGGTGCTAAGACAGTAGACAGTTTGCAGCTTGGAGAGGAGGGTTCTCCCAGAGCCCGGGCATGCCGGCCCCCTGATCTTACGTTCCCCAGAATCATGACAGATACATTCTTGTAGTAGCTTTGTGACTCTGCTACAACAGAGAGGAAAATGGACCATGCCACCGCACAGTTAAGCAGACCCCAGGGCAAGTCACGACATGCCCATACACGGCTTCAATCGTTCTACTGATGGCGGTGTTCTCAGGGAGGGGAAAGCCGTCTGGGTTCTGAACCAAACCGAGAAAGTGGCCTTGTTCCTGAGTTGCAGCCAAAACCTCTGAACGTTTCCAAAGCTCCCTCTCAGTCCGAACAAGGGTGTGAGCAGGAAGAATGCGGCTCGCCTCTCTCGGGGAAGACAGCCAAGACTGTGTCTCGGTGGAATCTTGTGAATGTCGAGAGGAGACAGAAATTCCAGGAAGGGCTCCATCTCTAGGGGATGGGAGGGATTCTAGAATCTTCTCATAGATGGGCGGGGCTTGGAAATCACTATGCAAATTAAGGAAGTGAGAGCCTTAGAGCCTGAGAAACTCGGATGGCAGTGGGTACACACTGAGGATAGTTTTCCCGTGGCCAAGATTTTTAATTCATTTTGAAACGAAGATTAATGGCTCCATCAGCCTGTTGCAAAAGCCTCTAGTCTAGGAAGGAACGAAAACAGGGCACGGGGCCGAAAGCTCTGCTCGCGGATGTGAGCACGTGGGAAGGAACAGGAAGGACAGATTTTATTGGGCACCTATGAAGTACCAGTCAGTGTTTTCATGGGTAGGCTACTTGTGTGGACAGGACAGGACGGGGGGGGGGGTGTTGGTTTAGCTCAGGGCATTTCTAACTCTTGGGAGGGAAAAACACCGAGTGAACAATAAGGGATGTCCTATATGATGGTGATGAGTGATTTTTAAAAAGTGTCCAGATACGTTGCAGGCAGGGTGGGAGCTGGTGAGAAAGATGGACGGTGACGTTTGTCTGTCCTGAGTCACTGTAGTAACAGGTCCAGAGGATGCAAGAGGGGCCGCATCGAGAATTTGGGATGGTAACCCTCAGGGATAGGGAGTCTCAGGTGCCTGACCACACCCCAGGTATCCGAACAACCCTTGGTGGTTACAGGAGCCACGGACAATAACTCAGACTTGGATGCTGCAGGTTCTCTCTCTCTCTCTCTCTCTCTCTCTCTCTCTCTCTCTCTCTCTCTCTCTCTCTCTCTCTCACACACACACACACACACACACACACACACACACACACTTTTTCTCTATCCATCTCTCTCTTCTGCCTCTCTCCTCCTCTTGGCCGTTTTCACACCAGGCTGGCTCTTAGCAAGGCTGCCTGTCCCACGTGCTCTCTTTCCTGGATGTGAGAGAGCTCTTTCTCTTTCCAGATGTCTACCCACCGTGGCGTGCCAGGCCCTTCTCATTTGCTCCCTTTACCCACCAGGGGCTGACGCTGGCCTGGGCAAAGTGCATTTCCTATGAATGTTCTGGATCAGCGGCCTGCACTGTGAGCGCTGGAGAAGTGTGTGTGTGTGTGTGTGTGTGTGTGTGTGTGTGTGTTTGTGTGTCCAGTCTCGCAGTCAGTGGAAAACAGATGAATAGAGATGCGTGCTGGACACTGTCCAGCCAGGACCTAAGGCCACTTAGCAGCCCACGATGTTCTCCATATCTGTCTCAACCCAAAAGCACAAAACACATCAGTGAGCGAGAAAAGCTGAGACACAGGCCTAAGAGCCCGTGAAAGAGAGAGAAAAACCACCACTGGCATTCTGGCGTTGACACTGGCATACAAGGGTATCAAACCAATCCCTCAACAGCTGAAAAGCCCATGCTGATCTACTCCCCCCCCCCATGGAGGGAGAATAAAGTCTCCAGAGATAGTGAGGGAGTGCATTGCTGGCTCTTTAAACAGACCGTTTCCTATGTCTTTTTAATATCCACCAATGTTTCGCCCACTGATGTTACTGAGGCCAAATTGGATAAAGCGTATTTAGATACAATCAGATCATTTTGTATCCAGGGCATCTTACAGAGGTCACGTAGCCTGTTGTCTGTGGCTAAGGCACAGGTGGGAAATTCACTGGTCTAGGTTTCATGGGTTTGTTTAGTCTTGTGCGGCTGGGTGGCAATGCTTCTGTGAAGCCACCCTGATATGCTTGGCATTGTCCTCCAAGAAATGTTCACCAAGACTGCCTAAGCAAACAGGCAGCCAGAAATGGATGGTATTTGTTTCTTTTATGGTATCTTCCACCAGTCTTCCTGTCTCTATCATCACAGAGGCAAGGAGCCCAGGGTTCCCCTTCATCTCCCTCCGGGTTCCCTCAACAAAGGCCTTACCCCTTAGACCCAGACATTTCAAGAGCACACTGTTCTGCTCGTGGAAAGGGACAAGAGACTCTCACCACTTCGCACCCTCAAGAGCCCACGAGGAATCAGGAATCCTGTTTTCTGTCTCCTCAAGCACAGAATGCAGGGTTTTCACTCAGGGAGCAGGCAGCAAGAGGCAGCCTCCAGCTCTGGGCTTATAAGATGCCAGATCTTCAACTGGGATACACAAAGTGCTCACTAGGACGGAGGGAGAAAATTCCAGGAAGTGGTTGCAGTTTAAAGGGGTCCTTTACATTTTGTTACTTGTGTGTATATCTAGTGGTGTGTATGTGATGTTTAGAATGTGAGTAGTGTATGGTCGTGTAAGTGTGTGGAATAAGTTTAGACCGTTAAGGATTAGAATTTATTTTTGATAGAGTAGAGAGTATAAATATTTTAAAGTGATGCTCTAATATTTGTGCATAGCATCTGGGTTGCATATAACTTCTGGGGGTATTAATAAAGAGAACATGTTGAACATCAGTTGTGATTGGTAAGATGGGTAACTGTGGATTCCACAGACAGGCAGGTAGGTGGGTGGATGATGGGCAGATGGCTGGGTGGATACGTGGACAGACAGTACGTAGTCAGCCTTCAGATCAACACTTTCACTCAGTGCCTCACATGGACCCTGGGGTTCTGAGGTCCTTCTGAAACCACACACAGCACATGCCAAGGGAGAG